ATATATATATATTTTAATATATTTTGTGGTTTTGGGAATCAGATCCAGGGGCAATCTACCACTGAGGTACATCCCTAGTCCTTTTTAAAAATCATTTTTTATCTTTAGTTATTTATTTATTTTTCAGTTTTTTGGTTACTCAGATTTGAACTCAGGGGCACTTGACCACTGAGCCACATCTCCAGCCCTATTTTGTATTTTATTTAGAGACAGGATCTCACTGAGTTGCTTAGCACCTCCCTGTTGCTGAGGCTGGCTTTGAACTAGCCATCCTCCTGCCTCAGCCTCCCACACCACTGGGATTACAGGTATGTGCCACTGCTCCCAGCTTATTTTTTATTTTTAGATAGGATCTTACCAAGTTGCCCAGGCACTCCTCAAATTTGCAATATTTCTGTCTCGGCTTCCTGAGTCACTGGGATTATGAGTGTGCACCACCGCTCCCAGCCAGAACTTTAATATATTAAACTGATATAACTGATTCAGTTCAAGGGAAAATTTGGTTCCAGAAGCCCACCCGCTCAGCTTCCACTTGGGCCTCCCTTTTACTCCCAAAGGCAGACCCTAGAAACCGCCATTGAATCCTGAAACTTTTAGAAACAAATTGTAGAAATCAGTGACTAGATGTCTAGACAACAAGGTGATCATTAGTATTTGACCTTGGCAAGGAGTTGGGGATATAGGTGAATCAGATGGATTTATCCAGACACACAGAAGTTCATTCCCACCTTTTCTGGTGGCAATCCTAAGAAGGGGAAGACTTCTGTGGGAGGTCTCAAAGCTTGTATTCTGGTACAGTGGGAAGAGCGAACTTGGGCTGAGCCCCAGGACTGCTACTTACTAACTTTGGGCAGGTTACATCAACTCTTCTAAGTCTTAGTTTTCTCATCTTTTCGTATATATCAGATCAAATATATATAAAGTCCTAAGCCTGACCCAATAAATGGTGGCCATTATTATTAACTGTTCAAGTCACCTACAAGTAAGATGTTAACAAACTATGAACAATTGCTATGTAAAAGCTAGACCATCCATTCCCACACATAAAATGGTACCTTGTGAAGCAGTGAGTCTTTACATAGAGGTAAAAAATGGATATATGGATAGATACTATTTTTTTTAGTTGTATATGGACCAAATACCTTTATTTATTGATTATTTGTGGTGCTGAGGATCGAACCCAGTGCCTCACATGTGCAAGGCAAGCACTCTACCACTGAGCCCCAGCCCCAGCCCCGATACTATTTCTGATGTGGTTTGCCCTGCTCCTCAAGCATATTAGGGTAAAGGAAAAGAAAGAATCAATGTTATAATTTGTCTCTACAATTGAGCCTCAGAATGATTTTTTATCACCATAGAAAAGTTCCAGGGAGCTCTGTAACAGAATGCATCTTGCCAGTTCCTGTCAATTTGATTTGGCCTGTTCACTTGTCTGTTAGCTGGGATTCCTATGTCATAGAGCAGCCGGGCCTGTGGATTGGCTTCTCTTTGAGTGTGACTATTTGGCAGCCTGGGCAAGTGGCAGGGAAGGGGAGGTCCACAGTTGTTTATTATTTGGAACAGAGCAGTATGTTCCCAGCTCATTGGTGTGTCTTTGTGGAGTGACAGTCTTGCTTTACTTCTGCCCCTTTAATCTGCAGCTTTCTCATAACCCAACAAATAGTGCACTTCAGGTGTTTTTATTTTAAAGATTTGGAAATCTTTGAATGGATTTAACTGTTATATTTTGCCTCCTAGCTTGGTGTCTTTTTTTTAGTTTTATTTTTTAGTTGTTGATAGACCTTTATTTATATGTGGTGCTGAGAATCGAACCCAGTACCTCACACATACCAGGCAAGTACACTATTGCTGAGCCCCAGCCCCAGCCCCACTGGCATCTTTTTTAAGAATGGGTCCAGTTTCCCCATATCATTTCAGTGGCTTCTCCTTGTCTGTATCTCGGACCGAGAGTTTCACCTTCAGGAGGTCCTGCCTGGGGTGAGGGTGGAAGTCACCAAGAGGAGCTACGGAGCACAGGCTACCTCGCTGTCCACTTCCATCCTCATGATCTTGGGCACCTGGAAGCTCTCACTCTGTCTGGCTGGTCAAGAACACATCTCCTTGGTGAGGTTTGAAGAGCCATGGAGACCTGAATTCCAATTGTACTTGTGCCTCAATTTCCTTGTTAATAAAATGAGACTTTGGGGAAAGTAACCTTTCTGATCTAAAGTCTCTGGTCCATAAGATTGAATGAGGACTGCTATGCTTATTCCTTATGCCTCAAAAGAACCCAGGCAAGAAAAAGGGGGATTTGGTCAAGATCATGAGGGTCAATGAATACAGCTAAGAATAGAAGTCCAGGCTGCTTGATCTAATTGGGTAAGTCTTACCCACAGTGCCTCCTTGCCTTTTGGGTGTGAGGCTTGATAACTTAATCCACAGCTGTCCAGTCTCCCATGACTGCAGATGCAAATCTGAATAGACTTTGCAGGTGATCAGGGCCAAAGCCACAGAAATATACAGGGGAAACCTAATGCCTGTCCCTGGTGCTGCTCCAAGAATGTGGCTATGAAACTAGTCTAATCTAATGAAGTGAAAGTACACAATTCTGTGAAATTTGGTCCTAGGTGTATTTGATTCAGTTGAGCCTGCTTCCAGACACCTGATTGGTGTGGGGGTTAAAGCCACATACCAGTGTCTATAATAAAAGTCAGAGGGAAATATGGCACTCCAGACTCCTGAAAAAATGAAATATAGCTCTCTAGCTTGGGGTACAACTAAAATCATATCACGTAGTTATGAATTTTCAATTAAATTAAAAGCGACACTCAAGCTACCACTTGAACACATATGCACGAAGTCAGTCTCTGTCTCTTGCAGTCTCTCTGCCTCATCTCTTCCCCAGTTGTCCTACCTCCACTTGCGAGGAGGAGTTGAGAGCTTTGGTCCTGACCACACAGTGACACTTTTGAATATGGTTCCAGCATGGGACCTGCTGCACGGGTCCTGCGGTGACAATACCCTTGCTGGTCCAGACCTCCGAATGCTGCTCCACCGTCAGGCTCCTGTGGGTGAGGCTCTCTCAGTTCACACACAGGTGTTGGGCATCATTCCAGAGCATAGCTTCTAGGAAGATCTGCCTGGCTTGGGGACTTCTGGCTTTGCCACATGTGTTACTAGAACCAGCCTTCAGATTCTTACCTTGAGCCCAGGGCCCAGTCCAGACCCTTTCTAACATCTGGAGAGTTTCCCTTTGACAGTTTGTTTTCTTGAAAGAAATTGAGGTTCTATCTTGGCAAGTACTGTGTTCCAGAAATAATATAGGGAGGAGCAGTGGTATTGTCTGCTACATTTTTTTTTCTTTTATGATTTAGCCAGAGACCTCCCAAATTTCTGTACCTCTCCCTACCTCTGATGACATGTTCTCATCATAGCCTCTTTGAAAAATAGAGCTTCATGGACTTCGATTTTTTTCTATCTTTATCCAAAAATCACCAGGAAACACAGATGTGACAGAGGTAATGCAATAATTAGGAATTGGCCACTAAAATGGAGTTGGCTAATGGCTCAAGGAAGACAGTATCACTAACAAAAGAATATTTTTCTCCTTCCAGTGGATTTTTAGGTTTCTTTCTCATGTTCACTACAGTGAAACTAAAGAGCCTTCTGGCCCCAGGACAGTGTGCAGCCTGGATTTTCTTTGCTCAGGTAAGAGGGAAGGGGGAGGGGTGGGAAAGTCTGTCCCAAGAGGCTATGTAGCCAGTCTTCTCAGAGCCTGGGGAATGTAAGTTTGATCTTCAGGAAAGCATTGCTAGTCACCTTCCCTGAGCCTGGTACTTATTCAGATAACAGTTTCTGAGGCCTTTTGCCTATTTTATCAGCATGACATATTAAATTTTATCACACTTGTGGAAGGTGACCATGCGTAGGCCCTTCATTTCCCAGAGCTTTAATTTGCCCATAAGAAAATGAGAGGTTTCATCAACACTAAAACTCTAGTGTTTTGTCCAACATCTAAGAAACTGGGGTCCAGAGATATGGGGCAGTTCATTTTCCTTCCCAGGGCTGTGAGGGTGTCCAGAGCTCAAGTCACTTACCTAAGAGCCCTCAGGCCGTCTGTGGAGACAGTGGAAGGAAAATCAACAAATGGCTGGGTCTGAAAGCTTCAATGAAGCCTTCCAAAAAAAGACTGTTAGGAGAAGGGTCTTTGTGTATCTGATTGACCATGGCTGAAGCATAAGAGAAAGAAGTGAGTAAACTGTGAAGGAACAAGAGCAGAAAACCAGCTGTGGGAGGCACCATCTTAACCGAAGTGCTTTGAGACTAATGTCTTTCCACAGGCCTATTTCATTTCCCTCATGTATGTGAAGGAGTCAAGGATAGGGCCTTAGGTGCTGCTTCTGAGGAGTGAGATTTTCTAATTAATTTAATCAAATGAAATAATTATTGAAACTTGTGCCTTTGGTCATCTTTATTTGGGGGAAAAGGTTTTTAACTTTTTCACAGGGAGGAAAAGCAAACATTTCTTTCTCTCTCTCTCTCTCTCTCTCTCTCTCTCTCTCTCTA